ATTCCCAGCCCTATTTTATATTTTATTTAGAGACAGGTCTCACTAGTTGCTTATCGAGGTGTTGCTAAATTGCTCAGTCTGGCCTTTAATTTGTGATCCTTCTGCCTCAGACTCTGGAGTCACTGGGATTACAGGTAAGTGCCATTACACCCAATTTGAGTGATCTTACATTAGGGAGAACCTTAAATCTGCTTTCATTTTTAAAGAAAATAACTTGCTAGCTTTAATATAAATTTTAGTTCAAAACTGCTTGCTGCATATCCCACAATGGATGGCAATAAAGCCATCAACGTGGGGCTGGRAGTATAGGTCAGTGGTAGAGSCTGTGCTTAGCATGCCTGAAGCCCTGGGTTCAATTCCAAGCACAGAAACAAAACAAAACTTAGCAATGTGATGGGAAGTATAGATGCAAAACTTATCAGAGCTATTCCTGCATAGTCATGAGTACAAACCCAAAATTTAAACATCAAAGAGAAAGAATTTAGGCTRCATTTGGGAAGATAATGAAAAGGATAGCATAGTTAGGAAGTGATTGCAAAAGTCCCATAATAGATGACTAAATCAAGATGGTAGTAGAAAAAGATGATGAAATTGAGAAATGTGGTAAATACAAAAGATAAGCTTTGTGAAGTCATAGGTCTGATTGGTCACATCTGTATCTCTACTGGTTTCTAGTTTGATAAATATTTGACTTAAATATTYGATAAATGATTTAATAATTAAGATATGTGGTTGGTGGTATTTTATAACGATAGAGCTAGGCTGCTTATGTTCAAATTGAGCTTTTCTGCTTAATAGCTCTATGACTTTGAGAAAATTATTTGACCTCTATGCCTCAGTTTTCTTATCTGTAAAATAAGGCTATATATTGGTATCTAGATTATCTGGTATTCTTGTCAGTGGAAAAGGTTTAAATAGTTCCCAGAGAGGGGGAAACTTGATTTAGGACAGGTGGGGTTCTTGGCATAGTTGATGGAAAAGAATTTCAGCATGCTGTATTCAGAGACCCAGAGATTTATTTAGGAAAGCAGATAACATTCAATAAAGGGATGTGCTTTTAGGGTTCTTGCTCCTCTTTTAAAGGAAACTTAGGAAACTTGGAAAGTGTTGGGTATGGGAAAGACGTGGGGATGACATCAGTCTGGGATTCACAAGATGGTTTATAATGGTGGTTCAAGTTCACCTATTGAATCTGGTTATTCTCAACATCCTTARCTTGACATGGTTTCCACTATTTGAATGATAGAAAATGCTGGAAAGGGGCTGGAGATGTGGCTTAAGCGGTGGCGAGCTTGCCTGGCATGGGGGGGGGGCGCCGGGTTCGATCCTCAGCACCACATACAAATAAAGATGTTGTGTCCTCCAAAAACTAGAAAATAAATATTAAAAAATTCTCTCTTCCAATGTGATTCTGCAATCTTTGTAATGTTTTGAACAACCAATAAAAAAATAAAAAATAAAAAGTCTCTCTCTTTAAAAAACAATGCTGAAAAGTCCCCTAAATTATAGRGTTTCTTAAAATATTACACCCCTCTTTGTTTAATCTATTTTTGATGGGCTAATTAACAGTAGACAAGGTAATTATCATAAGTGAGTGATTTTACAGGTAACTCGAGATTTACACATTCCCCAGAAATTTGGGAATGATAGACCTGGGAGTCTGGCTTGGGGTGGGGGGGTGGCACGCCTGGAAAGGTATATAGAACCTCATATTAAAATTATATTTCCTTGTCCTTGCTTTATGTCTCTTTTCTACCTTGTTTAAAGTTTCTTCAATCCTATCTCAGTTTTGAGATTTAAATGAAGTTAATATGTAAAGTGCTTAGAGGAGTGACTGAATATGTACTGAGCTACATAAAACTACTGTAATTTTTTAATGGTGAAATTGTATTGTTAACCCTTCAGAAGTGGAAAAACTTTTTTTTTTTTT